GTGCTTGCTTCAGCAGCACACATACTAAAATGGAAACAACACAGAAAATTAACACAGCTGCTGTGCAAGAATGACATGCAAATTCCTAAAGTGCTCCAAGCTTAAAAGAGAAGGGAAGAGAGAGTAACCTGCAATAGCAGCTGCAAACAACTTACTATTTATAATCATCACAATGTAGGAGAACACTCCTCTCCAAAATTAGGCACGTTTTTCTTCCCTACAGAGTTATCTACCCTATTTTTAGAAGCCAAGCCAATAGAATGAAACTGAATACATACATTAAGATTTGGAATTCCCTCAGACAAAACAAAACAAAAAACCGAGAGTGCTGTTATAATCTTCATTTTTATTCATTTTCTTTTTACAGACATCCTTCTTGGTCGAAATACTTAACCTCAAGATGAACACACAGGCTGACTCCATGGCACAGCAGTCAAGTGCCATGCAAGAGAAGTCCCATCACGTCATCACACATGGCTGCTGCAGTTTTTAATGCTGGGCCTCGTCAGCCTCAATCATGCCAGGAACACACACGAGTGTCTAAGATCTAACGGGCTAGAGGGGTGAAGGAGGGGTATGATGGTGGCATGACCAGACCCGTGAGGGTGTTCCCTTCTCCCTCCTGTCCTTCTCCCCCTCGCCCCATAGGCACACATGCTCTATCACTAATAAAGAAAAAACTTTAAAGGAGGGGGAAAAAAAATGGAGCCAACTCCGTGACCTACTGTTAAACAGAGTTAGATTCCACATGGCCGACTGTGAAACTTGGCCCCAAGGGCTTGAAAAATGCACGAGATCTGTGTTTGTATGCTCCAAATCCCAACAGCACAGAGAAATGGAAAAGAGACTGCAGTGTGACCACACTCCACTGGGAGGTGCATTATCTGTCACCTTGTCTCTCTCTAGCTAGAACATGTACTATCTGGGAAATTTAAAAAATAAATAATGGAAATAATGCAAAGTACCTAGATGCTAAAGTAGTAACATCCATGCACATACTAAGTGTAGACTGTTACAAAAACATAACTGCTTATATGAGGTTTCATATTTCATTTCTGCTTTTCTAATTCTGTCTTGGGAAATAATGTTATAACAGTTCAATACTTTTAAGCAACTTACCACATCTGTATGCTGTCTATGACAACTGCAACACTGACATGCTACTTTG